TCCCTCAGACGGGATTGATCAACGCCAGCAACTTTATCCTTTTATAGGGCTGCCAATTCCAAGCTTCCAAATTCCAAAGGGGCGGAGGTGGTGTAGTGGCAAGTAGCGAACTAAGCGAACTATCAAACACGCATGGTCACGGACTCGACTCCCGGACCGATATCCGCCTAAGCTACCCGAACCTTCCAACTGGGTCGATAAATTAGTAACAGACTCGTCTAGGAGGGTAAAAGCGCTGACCTGTACATTGGCTGGCCACTGCAAGTCATTGCATAGGCCAAATACACATTCAACACACCGATTGTAAATGGAAGACAAACGTGGAGGTGCATCCCTCAGGCGGGGCTGATAAGCGCCCAAAAACTTTTATTTCGCCCTTTTACCATCAAAAGACCGAGATGCACCGACTAAACTGTAAAAGAGCCTACTTGAGCCTGATGGGGAAGTCCGAAAAAAGCAGCAACAGCAATAAATATACAAAAATGACAAATGCTCTAAGAAGGAAAATAGACAAGACGTGCGGGAGCGGGGTTTTGTGCCGAGGTAGGGAGTGCCAATGCAAGTCTTCAACCGCACTAAGGCTAGGATTTCAGGGTACTGAGAAGAACGATTGAAGCCAATATGGCCAGAGATGACTCGAAATGACAGCAACTAAGCTAGTTTGAGTCAAATTAGAATACCGTTCCCTATAGAAAGTGCGGGGAACAGTGATAGGTTATAACTTAGAGTCGTGGAACTTTCAAGTTCATAAATTTAATTTCACATGCCATCGATCGAAGTGATCAGTTCGCTTTCACATAAACCACTGTGGTGGTATTCACAATTAGGACAGATTGTAATGAATACGCTCTTTTTTTGCTTCTTTCAGGTTTGGATCAATTCCTTTCCTCAATCATACGATAGAAGAGGCTTACGATGTCTTCGAAACCTCCGGTTCCCTCGAAAGAACTCTTGGGCTCGCAACATTAATGGAATCACGGGTTACAATCGACTACCAGCATCCGACACAAAACGCTCTATACATTTCACAGGTATTCCTTCATTACCTCACATAAATTACATATAATGGATGGTGAGTGACATTACGTCAGCAACAAAATACTCCGGCAAAATATTCGATGCGGTAAACAAACAAACTTTTCCCAACAACTCCTAGGACTGCCAAGAGAAAAACGCAACTGTAAGGGGCAAAATCAACAAGAATCAAAGGACAACAATCGTTTGAACCATTTTAACTGCAGCCGATACTAGCCTTCCAAGTAACGCAAGTATGGCCTCATTGCTTTGTGGGGAGTGAAGGGACCCATCGACTATAACTCGCTAAATATCGACTAAATAAGTTCTGATAAAGTCTCTGAAGATGTATTCGTAAGCATATATAACTGTCATTGCTTGAATAGAGAGAATTATTGAAGGCATAGGTCCACATCTATGGAGCATACACATGTACTAAAGAGAGTAATCCTCTCCTCTGCAATCCTGGTCCTATGACGAAGAAGGGAGCACCAGAAGATATGGTAACAATCTGGATATGAAAAAAAGCATGAAACAAATTCCGAAGCATAAACACGATACAGTATCAAATTTTAAGGCAAGGAAAGAATATAGAGCGAGGAATGGAAAAAGAGCCCTCTGTGAGGTTGGCCCAATGCCTCGTAGCAAAACTATTCCTTTCCCAAGTCGTCAGATGAATCGCAGGTTTTTTTGTTCTCAGGGCTCGTAGTAGGAGACCAAGCTAACTAGAAATCGGGAACGCGGATGTTTCACAGTAGATAGGCGAGCTCTAACTGAGATAGGATAGAGTACAGAGGGATCACCAAAAATGAGAATGTATCTCAATTTGCCCGCTCGAAATTCATCCTTTGTTTTACAGCCTTCTCTTCCTCTGCCACGTGATTACTACGTGCTACCGCAATTTATCCATCTTCTGGAAGAACGGGCAGCCTTCATCACACGTATGCTCAAACGATTTGCCGAACTCGTTTTGGACGATCCTTCCCCGTACTCTAAATTGATAGAACAGGTATTTTCATCGATTGAGGAGATCATCACAATCCTTCCTAGAATTTGAATGGTGAAAGCATCCGAGGATTTTTTCGATGTGTCACCTAGTAGATTTCGGGGGTATCAGAAATTGATGGCTCCTAGAAATGGAAGTCGTTGCAGGCTGCCAAGGAGATCGTTAATTTTGAGAGACAAATGGCTATGGCTTCATGGCCGGACACCGAGATGAGGTAAGTGTTTAGTCCATTAGTTAATATTTATGGCTAATTGAAATCGTATCAATTCAGGGAGTATGCACAACAGTATAATCAGTTCGACCTTGAAAATATATCAGCCATTATTACTGGAATTGAATGGAAACCCTATCTCGATGAGCTTTTATTATCAGTTCCAAAAGCAGAAAAGGCTCTGGAGGGCACGGTAACTGCAGGAATTCAATATTTTCCTTAGACATTGGCTGCTTTCATAGTCCGCCGGCGTGTCGGCGTGCCGGCG